GCCGCGCAGCCGTCTGGCAGCGCGCCCGCGCCGTCGCGCAACAACGGCACGACCACCGCCGCGGACGACGACTCGGACCTGTCTGACAGCGACACCGACGACGAGGGCGGAGACGGCGCGCGCCGGCGGCAGGGCGGCGGCGGTTCGGGCGGCGCGAAGAAGGCCAAGCGGCGGCGGCGCGTCCGCAATGCGAAGCAGCAGGAGCTGAACCGGCTGGCGCAGCAGCGCTACCGCGAGCGCAAAAAGGCGAAGTACAGTGTGCTGCAGGGCACTGTTGAGGAGTTGTCCGAGCAACTGGAGCGCCTGTCCGCTCTGGAGAGCGGCGCGGCGGCCATGGCCGCGCGCACGGCCGAGCTTGAGGCGCTCGCCGGCGAGCAGGCGCGGCGACTGGAGGAGAGCGGCGCGTCGCTGACGCGGCAGCAGGAGCAGCTGCGGCTCGCAGCGGAGGCGATCTCGGAGCAGCAGCGGCAGCTGCGGGAGCGCGACGCGCGGGTGGCGGAGCTGGAGGGGCGCCTCGGCGGCCTGCAGCGGCAGGCGGCGGCGGCGGTCTCGGCGGCGAGCGCCATGAGCGGCGGCGCCGCGGCTGTGCCCGCGGGCGCGGGCGGCGCCAACGCCGAGGCGCTCGCCGCGGCGGTCAGGGCCATCCTTGGAGGGCTCATCCTGCCCGCGGCGGCGGCCGCGGCGTCGGGCGCGGAGATGTCGGCGGCGGCCGCCGCGGCCGCCGCCACGGCCGCGGCGCCCGCGCAGCTGCCGCTGCCGGACGCCGTGCTGCAGCAGATCCACAGCTGCTGCGCTGAGGTGGCGCTGCAGCTGCGCACCCTGCGGGCGGTGCAGGCAGAGGCGCCGCACGCCATCCAGGTGCCGTGCTGCTGACCGGACTGCCAGGGTCCCGCCTGGCGCCCAGGCAGCTGTGCTGTGCCGCGCGGCAGCTCGCGCAATGACGAAGATGGACGTGTTCACTGTACCCTATTTTCACATGCCCCCGGCAATTTCCCCGCACGCATGTGCAGCGCGCGTGCGCACGCAGCCGTGCTGCGATGCCTGCGTCGAGCTCAACGCCTTTGCCGCGCTGGCGACAGACTCGATCTCTCTCTATGTTTTGGAGCCGGTGGAAATCCACTGGCAATCGTACCTGCTCTCTCTAGTGGCTTGCGCGAGGACGCATGCTCACGCACAGGCTTCTGTGCACAGCCAGTGAGCCACCGAGAGTTCGCGAGCGCGGCCATGCAGCCAGCCGCCGTTGGGTTTGGCGAGCCACCGAATCTCACACCAGCAGGGCAGGCGCGGAACGCTGGCACGAATTTGTGGGCTGCAACTCAATCGGGCCACTTGCACCGGTGCCGCATCTGCGGAACAAACGGCTGCTCGTGCATATTCACGGCCCCGCCCCCCGTCCCGCTACCAGGCTTTGCAGCCAACAGGTTGTGCATTCTGTCAAACCTACTTGGTGTTCCTCTCTCCTGTTCCGATTCAAACCCACCTTGTAAACGTTCTCGACATGCCTCCAAGTGTCCCCTGCTGCCGCTGGGTGCGGTCTGTGTGGTGTGACCCCAGTCCAGATGTTGGAAACCCCAGGGCTGCACCTGGCTTCACTGCCGCAAAGCAAACCGCACGCGTGTGCATGAATGGGGCTGCAGGCAGAGGTGAAGGGCAAGAGCCTCCCATTTGCTGGCTCACTGGCGTGCGATGATGTGGCGCAGGGCTGCACGCAGCTCTGGCCGGGGGTCGACGGGATGAAGACGCAGAGCGGTCGGGCAGTCACAGGCCAGGTGCTTGGTGCAGCTGGGCATGCTGCAGGAGCTGCCTGGTGTGCGAACCCAACGATTTCGCAATCTACTTCTTCCAGGCGGACTGGCGGCACCCTGGTGGCTCCCTCAACAGCTGGCCGCCGCGCGTCAGTCACTCAGCAAGCCGCCTGCAAACTTAGTGCGGGCGCTGGTGCATGGGCCAACGCGGGGTGGGCCCCGACGGCTGCAGCCACTCATGTGAGCTTGCATGGTAGGTGCCGGTCGCACAGTTGCTGATTCAGGAGCCGATCATGTCGCTAGCCCTCGCTCATTTATGCCCCGACGCCTCAAATCACTCCAATCCGGACGACAAGGCGGGAACCGCTACTTGGTCATGCGCCCGCTCAGTCGTGCCCCGTTTCCTCCCACGACTCCTTTTCAAGGGTGAGTGCTGATTAGTGTCACTGTGAGCGTCAAGCGGATCAAGGTTGCATGCGGCTGAAGAGCTGCTGGGTCCAGGCAGGCCGGGGGCTGGGGGG